ACACAGTAAAAACTGCTGGGTTAAAAATAACCCAATACATAACCCAGCGCTGGGTTGTTTTAACCCAACTGGGTTGGGTTGAGGGTTTGACCCAGCACATTGGGTCATGGCAACTAACCAAAGGTTGGGTTTAATGGACTTGTTTAAATTTGTTAAATTGACCCAAAATTGGGTTGAAACTCATAACCCAACACAAGGGTTATTATACCACTATAGTTGGGTTAAAAAAAAGATTTATTTTAAATTTCAGTATATAAAAACAGGATTAAAAGGCATATGAATTTAAAGCTTCTTTTATTTCCACATGATACATATATTAGAGCAGATTTCATTTACAAAAGTTACAAAACATAAGTAGTAAAATCACTTCAATTCATTTGGCTACAACTCCAGAAGTATCTGTTACTCCACATTAGAAAACATTTAATGAAAAAAAGTGTTTTAAAGCAAACTACAAGTAAACCTTTCAGCCATTAAACAAGGAGCATTTTTAACGACACTTTAGCATTTTGCCTGTCTCCCTGCATGAGGACATACGGGTTGTCACATTTTGTAGATGCACCACCAGGTTTGTCCCAACCTGATGGAGAGAAGACAGAAAATAACAGGCCATTAGTGATGAACTTATATAAACAGCAAACAATTTGAGCATGATTCAGAGATGAATGTTGACTTACAGGCTGGATATCAATGAAACCTTCTGAACTTCCAGGTTGATGGATCTGAAACTCTTCTCCCAAATTAGTAAGGTGGAGCAGGAAGGGGTACTGGCAGCAGCTGCAGGACTACATCACCTTCTGTATCAAACATAAGTTAGTGTTAAAATGTTACAGTAACTAAAAAGCATGACAACATTTTAGAGAACATTTCTTCTGAGCTTCAATACCTTGAGGGAGCAGACTCATGTTCTTGGTCATGCAGAAGGTCTTCGTTGAGAACGAGGAGTTTGGGTTTCGCTTAATTCTCCTGAAGATCCTGGATGTAAAATTACAAAATCTATCAGAAAAGACAAAATCACAAATCAAACTTTAAGAATGACTGAATTAAATCTTATAGCTGTCTCAACTGCAAATAACTTGTAATTAGCCAGCAATTTCAAATGTTCAGAGTAATTTTATGTTCCTAAAAATAAATATAGCACTTAATAAAATAAAATGACATATAATTTAATTTAGAAGTAAAACTCAACTTAAAT